AATTATACTTAATTATATCTCAAAGATTATTTCTAATAAGATATATTTTACCTTGTGTTGCAATAAATTTATTTGGACATTTATAACCCTATAAGAAATGTAAAACGAAAATTTGTATTTTCAAAAAAAAAAAATTAAATCTAATTAACAAACCGAAATATAATTGCCATTGATATAATCTGTAGATGGATCATCATTTAATAGACTAAGAATAACTCGTGTAGCATCAATAGGTAAAATATTAAGAAAACGATTTTTTGATGAAACAATTGCTCGAGTTGCAGCGGTACATGGTAATTCTTCAAAATTGGGAATACTCTAGAAAAAAAAAAAAACAATAAATTTAACATCACCAATAACAAATTGTCTTTGTTATATAGCCTATCAAATTCATGTTTAATCCAAATTCGACCTAATCTTGTAAAATTCTAAGTCTATAGTCGAGTACAGAAAAAATTTCACTTATAAAAATTGGATTCAAAACACTGACGAAGCAACCTTTACAACTGTCAAATCATAAGTATGTAGATTATAATGAGCTATAAATACCCTGAAAAGGGTTCGTGTGGCTAGCTTATTACTGCCGCGATATTATACTTTTAAAAAGAAAGCCGTAGTCCTCCTCAGAAACATTGCACAGAGAAAGATCTCAATGAGAATAGTTTATTATGAAAGTTTCAGACATTTTGATTGGTCCTAGTCTAAAATAAGAATATCGGAATCCGCCAGTGTATATGAGCGATGTACAAGCTTGCTTTTACCATAAGATAGGAACAAGCAAACGATCTGAAACCTTCACAATAGATTATTCTCATTAAGACCTTTCTCTATGCAAAGTTTTAAGTTAAAAGTTAAAACTGACGAGGGAACATTCCAAAGTGTCCCATTGTTTTTGAGTTCGGACTCTATGCATAAGGTAGATTCCAGTGACGTATGAAAAACCCCAGAAGAATAAGTGCCCTTAGGCCTTCTGTCTAGAGTTATAGACATTTTACCGAAATTTTAGCCTTTGGCATGGTAAATACGGACAAATCAAATGATGGTATTTCAACCTGCGATTTTGTCCACAAATAGATCTATTTATGAGTAGAATACGCTGAAAATTTCAGCTCAAAAGAATGTTTTATTCCTGAGATATTAAAGTCCCAAAAAACAGTAAATTCTAGCATCTTTCGTGGGACATTATTGATTTTTTGGACTTTAATATCTCAGGAATAGAACATTTTTTTGAGCTGAAATTTTCAGCGTATTCTACTCATAAATAGATCTATTCGTGGACAAAATCGCAGGTTGAAATACCATCATTTGATTTGTCCGTATTTACCATGCCAAAGGCTAAAATTTCGGTAAAATGCCCATAACTCTAGACAGAAGGCCTAAGGGCGCTTATTCTTCTGGGGTTTTTCATACATCACTGGGATCTACCTTATGCATAGAGTCCGAACTCAAAAACGATGGGACACTTGGGAATGTTCCCTCGTGAGTTTTAAATTTTGACTTAAAACTTTGCATAGAGAAAGGTCTCAATGAGAATAGTCTATTGTAAAAGTTTCAGATCGTTTGCTTGTTCCTATCTTATGGTAAAAGCAAGCTTGTACATCGCTCATATACACTGACGGATTCCAATATTCTTATTTTAGACTAGGACCAATCAAAATGTCTGAAACTTTCATAATAAACTATTCTCATTGAGATCTTTCTCTGTGCAATGTTTTTGAGGAGGACTACGGCTTTCTTTTTAAAAATATAATATCTGGGTAGTAATAAGCTAGCAGTACGAACCCTTTTCAGGGTATTTATAGCTCATTAGAATCTACATACTTATGATTTGATAGTTGTAAAGGTTGCTTCGTCAGTGTTTTGAATCCAATTTTTTCTGTACTCGACTATAGACTTAGAATTTTAAAAGATTAGGTCGAATTTGGATTAAGCATGAATTTGATAGGCTATATAACAATGACAATTTGTTATTGGTGATATTAAATTTATTGTTTTTTTCTTTCTAGAGTATTCCCAATTTTGAAGAATTACCATGTACAGCTGCAACTCGAGCAATTGTTTCATCAAAAAATCGTTTTCTTAATATTTTACCTATTGATGCTACACGAGTTATTCTTAGTCTATTAAATGATGATCCATCTACAGATTATATCAATGGCAATTATATTTCGGTTTGTTAATTAGATTTAATTTATTTTTTTTGAAAATACAAATTTTCGTTTTACATTTCTTATAGGGTTATAAATGTCCAAATAAATTTATTGCAACACAAGGTAATATATCTTATTAGAAATAATCTTTGAGATATAATTAAGTATAATT